TCTTCAAGGGCATTAACTGAAACTGAAGCCTAAAGGAATTAGTAAAGTACAGTCATCGAGCTAAATACATTGATCAAACTGCTCAAAAAAGTGTATCTTACTTTAGCATAATTACTATTGTGAAATCTTCATTAGAATATATTACACAAGATAGTAACTGTAAGTTAAACTTCAGCTCTCTGAAGGGCCTACAACTTTGAATCATATTTGTACCCAGTCATTTATGATTAAAATATAAATTTAAAAATCCAGAACGCCTTTCGAAGAACAGCAGGTTGATATTTTTGAGTATATTAAAGTAAACAAGGTACTAAAATGTTGATTGGATTCTTAAAGGATGCTGATGGCAAGGTTTTTGTTGAAGACTATGATATTTCTGATGTTGTAAACATTCTTTTGTGATTTTACAATAGAGGATGTTTAAAATATTCCTAACTTTGAGTATTCTATGGAAAATATTGGGATTTTCCTAAATCATATAGATATTAATTCCCTGGTAGTGAAAAAAAAAATTGAGAGATTAAAAATAGAATTAAGCACAAGAACCAGACAATATTTTTTCCAGGGTTTTATGGGAGGTCAAAGGTCAGATACACAGGCCTATTTCAAATATTAATACTGTTTTTAAAGGAGGTTCTTAGAGTTACCCTGGGAATTATAGACCAGCTAGTCCTGCTAGTGTGAAAAATTCTAGAGATACTGATAAAAGAAGCTTTGCAAAATCATCTTATGAAATATTAAGTTATAAATGAAAATGGATTCACAAAAGACAATATTTCTTTTATACTCTTTTAATCTTTTCGCGGATATTATGTGTTATCTGGATAATGGAAGGGATTTGAAGTTGGTGTAATTAGATATTTTTAGCTTTTCAAAAAATAAAAGCTTTTTGATAAAGTTACACATAAAATATTAACTAAGATTGCTCTGATTTTGCTCCAAGCAAAAATGGACATAATCCACTGAATAACAGAAGATTCGACAGGAAGTGTATTATATAGCAGTACCTGAATTTCTATGACCTAGACTGAATCTAACACACAGAAAGAAATTGGACACACGTTTTCACACAATTACACTCTTTATTTAAACAATCGGAGTTTAAGTTAACACTCGGAAAAATGCTTTGTGCTGTATCTTCAATAGAAGAGAGATGTTTGTTTGTTTGTTTTTAATTATGCACAAAGCTACAAAAGGGCTATCTGTGCTCTGCTCACCACGGGTTTCGAAACCCGGTTTTTAGCGTTGTAAGTCCGCAGACATACCATTGTGCCACTGGGGGGCGAAGAGAGATGAATAACTTTATATGTGCTCTTTCATTAGTCTACTTTTAAAGCTCATAAATATTGAAGTTAAAACTCACGTGCGTTGTATGGAATGGTACTATGTATATGCTTCTCTCTCTCAGTTAAGACGAATTTTTAAACTATTTTGTGGAAAAACTGTGTAATAGAGAAGAGTCAATAAAAGTTGAGACATTCAAGCTATATATAAATCTGAATAGCTGAAAAGTATCTAACAAAATCCGCATTCGAATTTTATACCTGACTAAGAGAACAAGAAATTATATTTTTACACTCCTCCAGATGCAAGCACACTTCACGCGATTGAGGCCACACTCACTGTCAACAATGAGTGCTATGCTCTGGGGTCATAGCCTGACTTGCCAATAAAAAAGTCACTGTCACTATCTGTAGCATGTTATATGATACACCAGTCTTTTCTAATGAGAAACTCTCGTGATGTCCTCAGTGACTCACCCAATCCTGTGACAAGGGTGTAGACAGGGGGGCTTCGTAGATTAGTAAACTTTGAGAATGATATTGTCATATCTCTGGTCGTTTGGTAATTACCCGTAAAAATTCTTTCTGAAGTATTTCAGTGATACAAGTCCTTTCTTAAATAAAACTAGTTTATTCTTTCTCAATACAACTTTGCAATACACTTAATTTCCACAGTCACTTTAACTTAAACACACGCTATAATTCACAATGATTTACACACTTTATTTACGGCTTGACTCGATTATCTGTCTATATTTTCAATCTCTCTGTCTGCTATTCCAGTTCCGATTAATTGTCTCGCTTCATCTGGCGCGCTTATATACAGGAATAGAGGGCGTCTAGCAAATACTGGATTATTCGTGATGTTCCCCGATCCTTCTAGAAACTCATCACGTGTTACCAGCGTCACGTGACTTCCGCTGTCGTAACAATATTAAAACTCTTGGGGATTTCTAGCTATGTTGATGATGTTGAGGTACTTGGATCAATTAGTGAGTTGGACAAATATCTGGCAAATTACATTTAATTAGAGTACTTGCTAGATAATGAATCTGATTATCATGATTTAGATCATACATTTAATATAGATGAGAACCCACTCAACAGCATTACTGAAGAAAAGGCCGCTCAAGCTATTGAGGCAGTGCTTTGTTGCAAGTAGCAAAACTAATCGAATTTTAGAGTGTATTTACAAACATACTGTCATGTTGGTTCTAAGTCAAAATACGTAATTATCTTTTTATACTATGTATAGTTTGCTCTCCTATTCCAGGAAGAGATACTGAATTATTGGAAAGAGTTCAGCAGAGGGCTACTAGGATGATTTAGAGATAGAAGGTATATATTGTGAGGGACAATGTTATGAAGTTAGGTGTAAGATTGGTTGGAGCTGAGCGAGGTCAGTCTCCAAGGGATTAGAGGATTATAGTACTCTAAGTCATTAGAAAATGGTTTGTAGTGAGTGGATTAGTGACCGCTTTTCTACGTTCAACCAGACTGGAAGCTACAATAACTCCTATTGTTATGAAATGTTATAATCAGATATAAGAGAAACGTGTGCAAAGTCAAAAAGAGAAAGAGAGAAAGGGTCGGTTCGACTTGGGTTTACGAAATAAATATAAAAGGCAGGAGCTAAATGAAAAAGAGAGAAGACCAAGAAATGTGAGAGAGAATGAATAATCCGAGAGAGGGAAAGGAAGAAAGTAATATACAACAATTTCTTATGTTTATATCAGTATGAGTCAATTCCTGATGGGAATAAGTACAACATAAGTAAAGTAGACAGGTAAGAAGTGAAAGCAAAGAGCGAGTATATCACGATCTATAACAAAGCCACGATCGCAACAAAGTGGTGTCAAAACGATACTTGTGATAAGTATGGTAAGAGATTATCTTATTTAAGTTTACAATGTTATTTATAGGATCGTTAAGATTTAAGCTTCTGATTTCTTTGTGATATATTCTAGAAACGAGAGAAGTCAAATTTTAAGGTTTAGAAAAAAAAGGGTAGACTACAGTGAGTCTAAGGATTGGTTTATATCATTACTTTTCTCAAGGGTGAGTGGCATGGATAACCTTGAAAAACCAAACATTCCCATTTTTGTCTGTATTTTATATTTTAAATATTAAAAAAAAAGATGTAGTAAATGCAAATAGAAAAAATACAAAATAAAGTGTTTAAATATAAATATTAAAATAGGTACTATAAAGGGTACAGTATCAGAATTCGGTTTGTAAAAGACTGTTACGACAGCGGAGGTCACGTGACGCTAGTAACACGTCATGCACTTCTCGAATGTTCACGTCCCTTCTTGAAGTCTCGAGAGGCTACTAGATATGCGGTAGTCTTGTATATATAAGCCGCCAAGAAGTGACGGCAAGAATGGTAATTGACAGTTGAGTCGTGAGACGTTCGTTGTGAATTATAGCGTTTGTTATAGTGCGACTGTGGAAATTAAGTGCATTGCAAAGTTGTATTCAGAAAGAATAAACCAGTTTTATTTAAGAAAGGACTTGTATCGCTAAAGTTTCTTCGGAAAGAATTTTTACGGAAAATTAACTAACGAACGGAGGTGTAACAAGACTAAATCGAAATGCCGCTAGCTCACAGGATTAAGCGAAGTATATAAATGTGAGAAAAATATAATTGCAGCAGATAATAGCAATAAAGGAAATGAAAAACATAAGATACTGGAAGTATTGTATGCACGAGTAAGACTTAAAATTTGTGTATTAAACGATAATATTGCGCAATTATAATTATTTAGAACGTTTGTTTAATGTAAAGCATAAAACTACTCAATGGGCTATCGGAACTTGTTGCAAGAGTTGTAAGTCCGCAAACATATCACTGTGCTACTGGGGGATATTTTAAAAGAGCTGCAAGAAGGGAATAATAACACATTTACAGAAACTAAAGATATTAAACAGGTGGGAAGATGGTTTGTTCTCCTAAGTTATGCAGTTAAATGTGGATTTAAAATATATAGATACAAGTATCCTGGAGTATATCTGAGTTTGGGAGATATTATATTAACATCGAAAAATATGGTAAAAATAAGAATACGAAAAAGTTTCTTATTTTCGATTATAAAGTACCAAAATAAGCCTTCCAGTGGCTTAACAGTAAGTCGAAAAGTTTATAACGCTGAAAACCAGGTTACGACACCCGTGGCACGCACAGCACAGATACTGCGAGAGTCCGTTGTGTAGCTTTGGGCTTAGCAACAACAAAAAACTTAATATATTGCAAAATAAAATATTCAAATAAAAAATAAAAACGATGATTACCTTGCATGATTTCCAGTTAAGAACCCATAATGATTATAATAACGTTTTTTGTTGTTTTTCATAAAGTATTAGCAAACGTGTAATTGGTGTTGGAATTTTAGCGCAAAGCTACACAATGGGTTATGTTGCGTCAGCGAGGTCACGTGACTAGTGTCACGCCACCTATTTTCTAGAAATATCCTGTTCGTTCGTGAATGCCCTAGCATTTACTAGATATATGTTTGTCTGGTATATATATAAGACGCTCACAACGTGACGAGACAATGTGTGTAGGTAGTGAGTAATTGAACCGCAGTCAGAAAGTATTGCTGAAGTTAACGTTCGTTGTTATAGCGTTTGTTATAGAGCGACTATTGAAATTAAGTGTATCGGTAAAGTTATATTCAGAAAGAATAAACAAGTTTTATCAAGTAAGGACTTGTGTCGCTAAAGTTTCGTCGAAACGAAGTTACAGAAAATCAATTAACGACTGGACGCGTAACAGTTATTTGCTTTCTGTCTACTTCGGAGAATCTAATTCCAGATTTTAATATTGTAAGTCCGGAAAATGACGGCTTACCCACTGAATGATAAAACTATTAGCAAAATTGTGTTATTTAGTATCCTTAAATATAAATATAGTTTTATCTTTCCGTAAACTAAAATTGGAGATCAAGAAAGAGAGAGACAGAGAAAAAGAATGAAATCTAATTACACATTAATATAAATTTTAAATACAAACGTTGGATAAATATATTTTGAGATAATGATAAATATTTTGCAAAAGACGTAGATTTATATCTGTTCTTCTTGTTGTGTGTTGTTAAAATATATTTTTTAATTTAAAAAAATGCTTGTCATAGTCTCAACACCACATGGCCACAACGTTATTGATTACACGAAGAGGCAAGCTAGTTAATGCTACTAGTGCTAGGTTTTAAGAAAAGGGTGTACTACGTATTGTTACACTTTTGAAAGATTATATTATACTATTTTTTTTATAGTCCTATATTCAAATCATTATGATATTGACGAAACGTAAGAGCTGATTTTTAGTTAATTTTTAAGTAATTTTATTCAACGCACACCAAATCTGGCTTTTCAGTTTGAGAAGGCAGTAACTTGTTAAAATATATAGTAAAATGGGTAACGTGTTAGCTTCAAGTTCAAGTATCTCGCCATCCCCAATACCTTCACCACCACCTCCAAATGCTCCTCCACCTTCGACTGCTGGCAGTCTTGGGCCTGATGAAACTGAGAAATTGGACAGCAACCATAATCCTGGTTCAATGGAGGACTTGCATAAGAAATGCAAAGGTATGCATTTAGAAAAATGTTTTCTTATGACTCATGTTTGTACATTATGTAATCAAGTACTTACCCTTCGGTAGGTTTATTAAAACTATATATATATATATATATAATGAAAGAAATTTTAACTTAGTGGTTTATTGATACTGTAAACATTAAAATTAATAGTGTATTAGATATAAGTTCTATTTCAGTCAGTTTAGTTATATCACTCCAAATAGATGATAACATTGTATCTTTGATCATATTTTTTATAATTCTTCATTTAAAAAGCACTTTAATTTTGAATTTATTGTTTGAAACTTTTGCCGGCTATGAATGAAAATGTATGACATACCTCTCTTGACATTAGCAGATTATTATAAATTATTTACATTTAATGAAGTTGCAATGCAGAATTAACGTGGATGTATTTTATGCTTACTTTCACAGTTTTGGTGATTTATTAATAAGAAATTTATCTTGTAATTTATTTAGAGATTTTTCCAGTTAATTTTGAAGGAGCTAAATTGATGGTCAACAAAGGCTTGAGTAATCATTTCCAGATAAGTCACACTCTTAGTTTGAGTTCCATCACTCCATCTGGATATCGGTTTGGTGCCACATATGTAGGTACCAAGCAGTTGAGCCCAGCAGAGGTAATATTTTAAAGTTTCTTTGTCTTAAAGAGTTAGGATTGTCATAAGTTTTTGCACTATTTCTTTTCTAAATCTTTAGCAAGAAGTTTTTAAAAGCTTGAATAGTAACAACAACTGTGTTTTGTAATTTTTATTTTGCTCTTTGAAGCTCTCAACAAGTAACAGTTTGTTGTATGTATGACAACACAGGTTTGAATCATTCATTTGTTGCAGTGTTTAATCCTAATTAATCCAGTTTAATCCAGTGTTTAATTATATCATTCATTGATTTTGAACCCGGATTAAAAGGAACTGTCCTAATAAAGTAACTGACAGCAAGATTTCTTACTTATTGGAAATACACATAAATTGGTTTTTAAAGTCTTGCATTTTAGCTTCATGTACTGTTAATAGAGACATTATATATCATAGTGTTTGAATAAAAAATTTAATTTGCCCATCAAAAATGTTTATAAGTTTCCAATTAAATAATGGTATTTGTCACTAAACAATTAAATAATATGACAGTTACTTTTAGTGCAGAATTGCTCAAATATGATTTTTACTAATGATTTGAGTATTTTAAATCTATGAAGAAGTTAATTGATAAAGTATATAGCTTAATTTCAACTTTTTGTGCATAAAGTTACAGATTAAGTTTGTGTAATGCTTGCACTAATATAAATGAAGTGTTAAAAAAGAATTTTTTTCTGGCAAAACAATTTACAAAATCTTGGTTAACTATGGAAGTTGGCAACAAAAAAGGCCGTAGTACAGAAGTGTTTAAACACAAGATCTGTGGATTAGGCTTGAATGTAATACAAATACATATGATTGAGCTTGCAAACATAGCTCTAGAACTATACAAATTAAGCTGTCATTCGTAAATTAGCTAACTATTAAAAATGCTTACATGTTGTGTATTAATACTGTCCAACAAATTCATTAAATTCTGAATCATGATGCATTAGCACACATGTTTACAGAACTTTATGTATAATCATCACAAGACATGAGTAATGTGTAACGTTGTATTCGTCCGTACTGTTGTGAACTGAACTTTTTTCATTTTGTGTTAAGTTGAGGGAGGTGATGACAAAAATGGATAGATGGCTTGTTTTTGCGTGTGAGAAAAGAACAAATTGTTGTGATATTGAAACAAATAAAAATAATATAAATCAACTGATAGGAAGTGAAAGAAGGAAGACATGCTTCATTTTAAGTATTTTTATGATATATGCAAGATATTATGTATGACAACTAATACACTTTTACATATGACATCATACTAGGTCATTGCATATTTTGTACAGTTTCATCAGATACTCAGTACCCATAAGTTTACTATGCAAATTTATTAAACCTTGTTAAGCATTTTGGCAAATACTAGAAACAACTATTAAAATATTTTGAATGTGCAAAAAAAGCAATTAATAATAACAAAAATGGTTGACACGAAATATATTTTTTTTTCATTAATATTTTTCTGCCTGATACTTTTTTTACTTGTCTAGTACCCAGAATTTTTGTAATTGTACATTTAGCTATTTCATCTTTGATATTAAAAAAAACAAAACATTTTTTCTATCTTAGAAGTAAAATAAACATCATCGAGACAATAAATATCTCTATTGAATTTTTCTTAAGTGTCTGAAGATATAGTTTTTGCTTTGCAGGACTAAAGTTTTGAGAAAGTTAACAAGCCAAGATGAAAGCTACCAGATTTGTTATTTTTTCTGCTGTATCCCATTTGTCTCAAACAAAGGACAAACCTGGAAGAGAAGGAAAAATCCAGTTGAATGTATTTAGGCTGTCAGAAGTTAATTTCTGCAGGTACTAGTGTCAGTTTTTAGCGTTATATCTGAATGTGAAATAATAGTTTCAAAAGATGTTTGAATGTGTTACATCTGCTTCTTTTCTAGGCTTATCCTGTGTTATTAGGGGACATTGATCCAAGTGGAAACCTCAATGCCAACATTATCCACCAATTTAATAAGCACCTACGTACTAAGTTTGCTGCCCAGGTAAATAGCTTAGTAAATTAATGTATTTTTGTTTTAGATATACTTTCAACTCAAACAAAAGTAGCCATACGATTTACCTGAGGTAAGCATAGGGTTTTTTAGGCTAAGAGTCTTAATGTTTTATATTAATCTCTCTAAACCTTAAGACAAATTGTGAAGCAGATTTTATGCTCTTTCATTAATTCTTTGTTGGGAAGATTTACAATTTATTCTTTTTAAAATCTATGTGTGGTCAAAGTCTTACACATTAAAACTTCTATGAAATTATAAATATGGACTTCTTTAGTACATGTGACCTATTGTTTTATGATGAAGGTCATGATAAATGTGATAAGTGATGCGTCTTCATATTTGAAATTCTTAATTATCTGAAAAAGACAGATAAACATATGAATTAATATGACTAGTTTGCTTTGAGAGACTGTATTTCTTTGATTTCATATATGTTATAAAAATAACAAGTTTAAATTGGGTACAAGATAAAGCTGGGTGGCTGTGAGTGAAAGACCAGGTTGAGTCTTAAAGAGTATAAAGGATAGCATAAAAAACATACACTGAGTGGTCACAAGTAAATAGACACCTAATTTTTCATCATTTAACTGATTTATGCTAACTAATTTGTGTTCACAGAGCACTATATAAATGAAAATGGTCCGCAGACTAATTATCTTGTGCTACAACATGTCTAGAACTCAACTTACTCTCGAATTGTCAGATTTTGTTAGAGGAAGGATAGTTGGTCAAGCAGATGGTGGAATAAGTCAGCGGCAAATTTCGCAGAATTTGGGAATCCCGATTTCGACAGTCAACAGAATCATCGTGCAGTTCAGGAAACACGGCAAAGAAACAACTGAGCATCGTCCGGGTCGTCCTGGTCCATCGGAGATGACAAAAAGGGCTGTCAAGAAGAGCATCGATATGGATCCCAGATTAACGACTGCAGAGGTGGCCAAAGTTGGTAGGATGAGCCCG